TCCCCAACATTCAATCAATCTATAAATCCATTTTCTAACATCCTCCCTAAACTCCTCGCAAAACTTGATACTCTATCTATYACCTGCCATCTCTTTTCTAACTTTTTTATAGTCTGTCCGAGTAAAACCACGTTTGTTACTTTGCATAGATGACGAAGCCTCGTCTAATTGCAAAGGGTCTGCAAAGGTGTTAGCCATAATGCAATAATTTCATGTGAACTGCTAACTGTGACAATTTCCCTCTTTATCTACAACAAGTCAATAAGCCATCAGAACATTTCATTAGCAAAATGAATATTTAAAACCTACATATAATTTCAAGTTTAACATTTTCCTATTTACGCATCATAAAGCAGAAGAATGTATTAAACCTGCAGTTATCCTTTTTATACAAAGTCGGCAGCCTCCTCAGACAGAATATATGAGCAACAACGCCATCATAACCACACTTGCTTAAAACCTGAAGGAAAACAATGGTAGAACATTAGTCAAAGTATTAGTCYGTTTMAAACCAAAATCGAACCTAATAAATAGATCGTTACAAGTAAAAAGTGTGTAATGATTTCAACCACCACAGTCCAAGAATACTCAAAAAGCATCGGCCAAGACTTACAATTTAAGATTATAAGATAAAAAGATTTAGGTAAACAACCCYTAACTTTAAATTAGAATGATGGCATGGTTGTGATGCCTCTCTTTTCCAGATGTTGATCAGGACTCAAATTGCATTTCGTACGCCTACAATGCAATACGAACAAAACAAATGGGAGAAAGAACACATGAATGTGGTTAGATCCCTTGGCATAAATACAAAACAAACTATAGTAACATAATTAAACTACCAATCATTATCTATAATACCAGAATTAATCCATTTATCAACAAGTATARAGATGCTATATTTTTCATATCAAGAGAACCAACACCCGAAGTCTATTGGAAATCTAAGCCTATAATAAATGCTATTGGTAATTGAATAGTTGGCAGCGAARTGGATAGCCCGGAGTCAYCRCATTTGAACCTCCKTGGCYACAAGGGGATTTTATATCAACATAACCCATCAAATGAAAATCAACAGCCAGGAAATAGGTATTCACATTATCCAAGTTCTTTCATCGATATCTATACCCTGCAAATCCCAKATTCTAAGCATAAAATGGTAGTACTTTGTGCTTTATGATTTCTAATTAAGATATAGGTCTAAATGCTTATTAATGTAGTATAGCTTACTGGTGAACTGTTTCCATRCTATTTTTGCTARTCTTCATTTAGAGCATCTTTGGAGCCTGGGTAAATATTTTACACTACAGGCACATATTTTCTGTTATCTTTCATGAAGTACTTACTGAACATTAGAAACTCCAGTAGGAATGGTATATGTGCTTAGGGTGTTAACATAAAGAGTTTAGAAAAAGTAAAAGGYTGCAAGTGGGCAGCCAGTTTTGAAGCCARAAATCTATTTTGCGGCTTATTTTGAAGACTTTAAACATTCATCTTTTTAGTCGTTTGTACTTTGTTGATCAATTCATCCTAATTTGAGTTGTCCTTGTAATTCCTGACACTACTGACAAAATACATTGGTCAACTCTTGCTGATAGACGTAGAGATTAAATTTATTTTAAATCAAATGCATCAAATAATTGGTAAGCTTTTTAGCATCATATGGCAAATACATTAGTAATTGGCTGTAACAATTCCACAAAGCGAGCAAACATATTTGTTGCTACCAGTTGAAAAGTCCGGCACCGAAGGCCATTGAGAAGAGTTGATTCTTTTTCTCTAAAACAACTCTATGCCATTCAATGTAGACATTATTTCAGGCTCCATATACCATTGCAATTTCATGAAATTATAAGATACATGCAAAGTTTCAAGCTAAGATACATCATATAACGTGACCAAAACCATCAACAAAAGAATATCACAAGGAACAAAACAATTTCTTCAGCAAATCAAGTGAAAGATTAAGATCATAGATAACMTAAAATCATATCAAAACAATACAACAACTAAAYCCTGGGAGTGGAAAAAAGAACCTGATGAGATTTTTGGAGGTAATGTTGGGGCTTTAAACATCCATTTTGGATCAATCCTAATTGAATGTAATGTAAATTCCCCTGCAAAACAT